TTGAGTGCATCCCACTCCTGGAATATGCGATTACTTTGCGCTATTAATTGATGCGATTCATGTGACGTGACGATTAGCTCAAATGTACTCATTTTCCTCTGTAATGCTTATGAAGGGACAATTACAGGATCGTGGCTATCACTCATATCCACCAGCCAATTCCCGCTCTCCGTCATCAATGGACTCAGCTCCACCTACCTACCGTAATCGAACCGTATCACCACCTCCAGCGCCAATCGCTACCCTCACGAAACAGCAACAAATGAGCCCCGGATCTTATACCACTGGAATGCAGGTAAGACACATCGCTTGAAAAACTAATGAAAACTAATGAAAACGAGCAGAATGATGCTCAAGATGAATCAGTACTTCAAGGATGTGCCATTCATTCGATTTCCATCCGAACAGATAAGGCCCGTAGGGGGCGTCTCTGCGCTATAACAGTAGCCTGCTAGGAAATGTCCAGCATTACTAACTAACCTTACCACTAGCATCACCCATCAAGTCTAGGAAATATGCTGGTGCTCGTGGACCACAGAAATCCAACCCAAGGCTCCTATGTTGACTAAAAATCTCCTTCAAATCTAATCTCTTTGGATCATCAATCGCTCTCATTGTTGTTCCCACATTGTTTTTTTTGTGCAAGTCTCGTGCAGAAGTTCTCCCACTAGGACCATTTCCATTAGTTCAGTGACTTTGGGATAGACTCCCAACTAAATTTATCACAATGAGGCCGTGCTGTTGACTAAAGAGTGGCTACTCCTAGGGCTCGAACGTGGATCTCACAGTTGCCGGGCCATTGTGCTAATAATGAACGTCTTGTTCTCTCCAGATTATGAAAGGTGACAGAGGGGGATGGGCTTAGCTCGGCGTCAGCCCGATTTTTTTCTCTTTTCACAAACCCGGCTTCACTGACACGCCCCATCAGGGAACAAGGCTGCACATCAAGAAAGTCGCTTGTTTTCCCTCTTAGCTTAGAAGCTGTTACGGATCGGTGGACCGCTGGGAGGGGGACCATAGCGTTCCCGTAGATATCGTACGGACCACTAGCATGCCAGCCGGCGCTGTCCTTATCGAACTTGTCCCTGGGATCATCGTAACAAACAAATATGCATTTGCATTAGTATGAGAAAAGACCGACCCTACCGGAGGCCACCAAGGCGGTTCTAAGGATATGAGGCACTGAAAACCCTAAAGAACAGCTGACACTCGATGAGAGAGACCGAAGTAAGGGAAGCAGGGAAAACGAGAGCGAAGACTTTCCTAGAGAACGCGATTGTCAGTAGCGATTTCCACACATGGACGCTAAACGCTTCAGGAAACTAACAGGCGTGGAATTGGCCTAGGGGCACGTGCCCACCGTGAAGGCGCACATGGAAACGATTCTCGGAAGTTCACTCTACAGAGTTTGCGAGCACAGCTTACTAACGCAAATGCAACGGCTGACGGTCATGCTAAGCTGATATGGGCAGCGCTCCTCGTTGCCAACAACTTTCCGAATATTTACTGCACATTTTCTCTATACAATTCTGAGCAACTTCATAGCTCAAGTTTTCTGAGTCAAACCTGTTTTCCTGTTATGAAACATCTGGCATGAGAAACATAATCAGCACCAATTCATTCTCAGCTGATCTTAAGGAATGCTATTACTCACAAGAAAAAACGTTCTAGAAATGGAAAGTGTTATGCAGGTAAATCTCAAGGGGGGGGGGAAGGGTGAATGCAAAACAATTTACTATGCACCATGTTTTCCGATCACCACATCATATCCGGTCTACATAAAAGCTGATTGAAATTAAACTAGTTAAAAATAGCATTTGAACCATAACATAAGGGGATGATGCCATGTGTCGACATGAGAAGGGGATTCCGGTCTAAAGACGAACGGAACGTCACTGGCATAAAGGCACGGTCCGCGATAAGGAGCATAGGGTTGAAATAAGCATCAGAAGTTGTAAAATGAGTCATTTGTGGAAGAAAAATGATAAAAGGAACCTAAACGCCTCTGAAAGGATCCCTACAGTCTTAAACAATTTTACGCGTAAAAGGCCAAAAGACCGCTTGGGGGCGAGTCCAGTCGGCTGATCCCTTTTAATGTGAGCCCTTTGATCTCACAAGAGACAGTAGAGCATCCATTTCAGGCTACTTGTTCAGTACCGCTTTGCTTTCCGGTGGAAGGCAGACTTTCGAAGGCGAGTCTGGAGGCGGAGTCACTGGAATAAGGGAGGTGTCACTGAAACAACTTTGCGCCTCAACTCTTTTACCTTGCAACTTTCCGCCGCGAAAATGGCACTAGGTTGCTCAGACCAGTCCGTACTACCTTTTCCATTCACACTTTTGCATTTTCATGGGTCATCGCAGACCGTTCCTTTGAGGGATTTCGATGATCAAGGAGCGAGAGATGAAGCAGGCTACCACGTTTTGCTGATACTTGCCGATGTGGCGGTGAGGGCTATCACTGAAAATTCTGGAATTTGACCGCGTGGCAAACTGACGGGTTGTATAGTATTAAATCTTTATCCTGATGACTCCACAGGCTTGCTCAGAGAGCGAAGATTCTTTTGAAATGCTTCTAGGCGCTCTTACTCCGGCGTTGAATGAAACGTCCGTCGCATATCAATCATTATGAGGGATCGCTCTCCGTCGTAGTCAGCTGAGAGCAAAATATGTTCGACTTCACTTCTAAAATAAATTCGGATCCATGGTTCCAAGGGAATCAAGTCTGCAAAACACCCTCAGCTCTGCAGATCCTTCAGAGAAGATCTGTCCTCCAACTATAAATATTATGTGTCTTCATAGGTCCAACCTCAGGATTTTGTTTTTGGTAAGTTACGAAGGTTGGAGGTGTTCACTTTCTCACAGAAAAAGTGGATCCTACCTCGGGCAGTGGTGGAAACGTTTTTGTCACACCTGCTCGACGCCATGATTTTTTTTTTTTTTTTTTTTTTTTTTTTTTTTTTTTTTTTTTTTTTTTTTTTTTTTTTTTTTTTTTTTTTTTTTTTTTTTTTTTTTTTTTGAAAATCGATATGGTTTCAAGCTCGCGACGGCATGCCTGAGTGGAGACCTTTAAATAGTGAAAGGGCTTTGAATGCTAATCTGACAACCTTTTAAAAAAATGATTGCTAACCTGTCTCTTTGCTGCAAGACTAATTTCGCATTCGGGCAGCGCATCGACGGCGCATACGCAAGCTTCAGCATATGTGTTCAACTGGAAATTTGTCATAGAGGGTAGCATGACCCTTCTACCAGAGATGCGTGGTGCCCCGCCACGGTCACGTAGGGACCGCTTGTCTCGACAGGGTTGGTAAGCGTCCGAGCTCATATGTTCGTTCTTGCGATTTGGGCCGCAATTTTTAGCTAGCTTTAGCTTTAGCTAATATTTGTAGTAAGTATTCCGGACTGCTCGAAGTCATAAGGTCTTCATTCAAAGATCCATGGGAAGTTGAGAGCATGCTCTGGCACGAATCGTTTCGGCGCTTTGGTCTACCGGCGCGTCTGCCTCAGGTTGTCCTGCCCATTCCACCAGCGCTTCCGTGAATAAGGAGACGCGATAGGTGAACGGTATTTGTCGAGTCCGCAGACGGCCTCTTCATGTGCGTGCTTTTCATTCGCCTTGACGATGCACCAGTTGCAAACTCCCACGAGTCTAGACACTCAACCCTTCTTGTCAAAAGGTCTGTGCGATAAAGAATAAAGTATAAGTAGAAGAGCTTTGAGGGAACTACGGCCAGTTTGCCCACCTTCGCGCTTGACGTCCATCAACCTTTTCTTGCTAATCTTTGGTGGCTCTGTTACATCGAAGTGTGCTCTCTTTAACATGCCCCGCCTGTTACAACTATTTTAGAGGATTTCCCTGAGTGGACAAGAGTGCCGCGCTATATGCAGTGCGTAAGAAAAACTGAATCGCAGTTAGGGAATTTGAACCCTATCGGGTTGTCCACTCTTTCCACCCCGACTGCTGATCAATACCTCACCTGTGAGATAATGAAAACACTGAGTGAAATGTCGCCGCCCTTTGCAAGCATTCTATGGAGCGAGTCATCCTTCAAGGGTTTCGTCGGTGCTGAGTCGAGAACGAGAAATTCGTCAAAGTTAGTGATCAGTGACTTACTGGTTTTCACTCCATTTCCATTCAGTTAAAGGCCAGCACAGTAAAAAGCCACCAGATAGTAAAAGATTAGGCGTTAGTAGGCGTCGAATCAGCCTGCAGGCTGTTTTCCACCTCAAACGGCACAATTGGTGGAAAACGCAGCCGCTGGTGGGCTCATTCAACGCCCGCCGGATATGTAGATCCTCCCATACAATCGTCATAGCATGTCTCTTCAAAAGGAAACTAATGGTTTGCCACACTTACAACTGTATTTCAGATTCCTTATCCGGGATACAGTTACAAGTACTCGTACGCTCCCTACTCGCAAAATATTCTCTACGGTATGCCACCACATAGCGGAATGCTGTTAAGGTAATTCATTCACTCTTTTAATTTTTATTCATATTGTCCTTCCTGCTCTTAAGTGAGATCATTCCTTACAGATTCCTCGCCAGCCCGTTCCCATTCGGTGGTCATCATCGAACGGCATTCATCGGCCCCAACAAATACCACCATTTCGGTGGTTGGGGTGGTCATAAGTACTATTCATCGGCATGGGGACCAGTCTGGTAACCAGAAAAATGGAGCGCAGGAATAAACTTTAGATCAGGTCTAGGATCTAAAGTCCAGTTGAGCTGGTCAGATTATCACCCCTGTCGTATTGCTATCACTACTTCTATCCCTCGACAATCACTTTCTGAACTTTTCTTCTTTGTGTGATTCAAGGATATTTCACTGTATCACTGCTAACATCTGTATAAGCTCTTTTATGTAACTATGTAAATACTGCTCATCCTTTTGTTTTTTTAATAAATTTTTGATTGCGATTCTTCGACAAAGAAGGTCTCCGGTTCAACAGCAGGATGTACAAAGAGGGAATAGGGCCAAAGAAGATACTGTACCTTTTGCTCGCACCACCAAAGTTTATGCCGCACAGGTGACAAAGTACGCAGATTGTCATTATCCCTGCAAAACAGAGGGCGCCTTGGAGGGGAGTACGTGGTTGGAGCGCAGTCGGGGCGTCCTTTTCCACCAGATGAAGCGTCCTGAACCTGCAACAGTCTGTGAAAAAAGCTACCCTGGCTGCGCTCCAGCCTATGCCCCTTTACCGCCTTCCCGTCTGTAGGCACCACGAACGCTTCCAGCACTGCTTTTACCGCAAAATACGACCTCCACTCACGATTTTTCACTCTGTTACAACCCTCCTTACCTATTCCCCAAGATACCCAAAGTCGTACTGAATGATCTTATGTTTCTACCACTTCCCTGGTTTTTTTTTCTGAAATTCTCCTGAAAATTACCGTTGGCGGCACGGAGAAGGTCGAGAAAAGGTAACGCCCGGAAACTTTCCTGTATAAGGCAACCTCCTGTCTCTAGCGACTGTTTAGATCCCCTTTCCTGGGATCCTCTGAGCACGACGTGCCCTGGATCAAAAGCAAATCCCAATGGAAAGGTTTCCAATACATCTAACAATGAGAGACGGAGGTGGTGTAGTGGCAAGTGGCCACTCGCGCGGTCCTGGGTTCAAGTCCGGGTGGGTAGACTTCCGCGCGAGCCAACCGAGCCCTCTACCCTCCGGTATGGTGGATTGAAACTATATCTGTCTGTGAGGATAAGAACACTGACTTGGTCATCGGCTGGCCCACAAGTCATTGTATAGGCCACATCGCATTCAATAAGCCACTACGATTCTGAATGGAAGTAGAATGCAAAGTGCATCCCACAAAGGGATTGATCGACGGCAAAGTGATCTTGATCCTTTACCAACGAGGGTTTGGTCTTCGGCCTCGGCAACGAGAAACGACCAGGATGTCACTCACTCACCGAGTCTCAGGGGGGCTGAGCATACTCGCATCAAAATCTGATGGTTTGCTTGAGTGAACAGCTTCAAAGGCATAGCAGCGCCTTCAACAATGCCTCTGGAATACAATTAGCAAATGAGTAGCCAGGCCATTAGTGAGCAGCAACGCTGGCTACTTTTAGTTGACACATACCGTTCTCGTTGAGATTTTGACATTCTCAAGGTGATGCGTTCGAAGATAAAGCCTGAAGTAGCGTTAATTAAAATATGAGTGAAAATGGCTATCGAGACCAGGATAAACAATAGAGAATGAACCGTTCGCTGACAACCAGTAGCATTCTGGGTTCTTTCAGACTTGCCACTTGCCCACAGTCTCCCTTAGAAATGTGATTCACGTAACTAGTCGCAAAAATACCGTGGGTGTCTGAGTAATTTGAAAAACAAGAAGTGATGCACTAGTTCACTGAAGAGCAGGCATAAAACGAAAGGAAATCCACCCCGTCCCCTCCCTTCCGGAGAGACCTACCACTTCTCCAACTTATATGCACCTCGAAGGTGGCCCAGTAGTGACCACTCGACTTTGGCGACTTCATTACCAGGCGCTCGGTATTTCCTCAATTTACGAAAAGGAGCAGATTACCGTTTATTTAAAGAACGTTGAGAGCATTCCGTTGGAGAAATTCTTTCATTCCTTTTAGGAAGAAATCATATCGCAGTTGAACGGTTGCTGTAGCGCGATCTGGGAGTCCGTGATCGGCTCCTGCCTATGCCAACTAAACCTTGCCGACAGAATAACGTGAGGCAGACCGCAATCGCACATTTGGAACACCTGTACGACTACAGTCGATGCCTTGATGTGAGGTGTTTGTTTCTCCAAATCGCCTGTGTTCCACTATTTTTACGGTAACGAGTGTCTATCCCAGGTGAAGGCTAACATTCTGGGAGCAGTCCTAAAAGACAGCTTCGTTGACTCACTCACTCCTCCCTCCCCCACACACACTCCACCGGGCTCGATCTATTGCGTATATCGAGCACCTTCATAAGCAATTCAAGGAACGCTTCAAAGACAAATAGTGGCAACTGTATAATTAGCTTGGACCTGTATTGCTAGTGAATTCTTCAGTAAGAAAGCAAAAAACCAGACAGCACCCGAAACAATGACCTGACACCCACTAACAGGAAGTGGTAAATAAAAGTGACCTAAATAAGTGAACCAGCTGCCTCTGTGCATCCCTTGGGTCACTGTTCGTTTCTCCGTATCATCTAGTTCTGAACGCTATTCAACATTAGAAAAGGTAGCGAAAACAATGGCATAGAAACAAAACTTATAGGAGGAAATAGTTCTGAAAGACTCGTCGAATAAAATGTTATGAAGGTCATCCACAAGTTAGTGACCAGTTCAGTGATGTATTTGAGCAACGCCAAGACGCATCCTATCTTGGTCTGCTTTTTACTTCATGTGCCTTTTTGGCTACAACACAACTCCTTACGAAATGAACTGAAGGTGCGCATTTTGTGGCCTGCAGCGTTGTCCGACGACCACATGCCGTCGGACGCTTGTAGCAAAGAAAGACATTCGCGAGCTCACTTGTTGTTGTGCTTCCCGTGTATATATTTTTGAGAACACATAAGCGATTGCAGCCCTTTCCCCAAGGCAAGATGCGTTTTAGCCCCGCTCAAACTCACCAGCGATGCAATCGCAATGGTGCAGAAGTTCGTCGTGCACTGCTTACCGTAATCATAATTATATAGTCATACACATTCCGCAATGGAATAACCTCACTCGTAATTCATACTTGATCGCGGGAAATGTCTTTAACTTCGGTATTCATGTAGAAAGTATTAGAGGAAACCTGGTGTCGCCGTCTACTGCTATTACAATCAAGGAACTCTTGGTATCACAAAATTGGAAGCTGTCGAGAAGCAGATGCCCTATAGAGGAACTGCTGATACCATAGGTGAAAACTAAATACGTACTTTGCCGACCCTGTTTTCGCTCTCGTATTGCTCGCTGTGGACCATTACTGTTTACTTTTGCCATTCACTTGACCGAATTTTTGAAACAGTCCAAGCGGCCAGCCAAACAGAGTAGCGCCACTCGACGACGATAGCGCCACGATCGGCCTCACTGTCGATCGAAAACCCTTTCCCTCAAAAACCATCCTTTCACCACCTCACGTGCCAGCTCATAAGTGTGGATCGTTTAAGATAATTGCTCTATTCTCAGCGGCCAACCGTTCAAGTCTGCTCCAGTTTTGTATTATGCGCTGACCCAAAGAACTGATTTCCATGAGAACTTTCCTCCTTCTTCCTTCTCGGACCACGTCAATTATTGAAAAGAAAGTCATGTCAACTGTCACCTTCCGTTGAAGCTTCATCCGACGTTATTCTAAGATGTACCGAGTGACGAGGCGGCGGTGGAGTGGTAAGCGAAGCGGTCACCACTTGCGCGGTTTTGGGTTCAAATCCCGGGTCGATCCTTTCCAAGCCAACGAAGCCTTCTAATCTCGCGGAGGCAACTTGGTTGGCAGATTCGTCTGGTAGCTGAGAACACTGAACTTGTACATCGACTCCTCTCCATCTCATGCCATTTTTAGAGCAACATTGCAATTCCAGTAAGCGCACTACCGGTCCGAATAGAAGGTAGAATGCGTGCCGCATGCCGCAGAAGGGACTGATTAATACGCGGACTTATCCTTTCTTTATAATCAAGTTTGTAGTTGACTCAACACACGTAGGAATGAACAGACTTGAGCAGAACTGCGTGCTGGGTTTAAGCGTGTGGATTTAGCAGGAGTTGTGGCACTTGCGCTTGCCCGCAACAAATCATTCTTTTTCTTTTATATTCTGAGCCGAATTCGTACTTCAGCCACAGCATTTTTGAACCTCTTTGACAACGCTGTACCTTCTATTCGACTCCTATTCGGGAAGAAAAACGACATTCACTAAGGTGCCTATACATCTTTCCTCTCCGATCACTGTGGAGAAGTTGATACAGTTCATATCTCGGAGGTAGGTAGGCTTGGGAGCGGCACTCCATTTGAGCGTGGCAGCGGCTGCCTCTTTAGTGAAGTGTTGTATTTTGAGACAATTTTCATCATGTTTTTCAGCAGATCTAGCAGGATGATACTTTCCTCAAATGGGAAAATTCCATGAAAAATGCTCCCTATGTCATTCTTTAAGGCAGAACCCAGGCTAACTTATAATTAGCTAAACTCTTTGTCTGGACAGGTAGTGTGAATGCAACGAAGCACCTTGCATAGATCTTTTCAGAAAGTGGCAAGGTAGCGGCGGTAAGGCGCAAGGTTGCTCAAGTGACTCCGCCCAAGTTGGTAGATGTCTTATTCACGCTCTCCTTCGTTTGCTGGATCTCTTGCTGTTTTCTCAGGCTTCTCTCGCAATATCCACATAAGTCGCGTCTTTGTTAGTCTTTCGCGTGGCACGATTAGGGCCTTACTTGGAGCTCTCCGGACAGTTTTCTTTCCTTTTTTCTTCACGAGCGAGTCAGTAAGCATACACAATTCTGTTTCTCAACGCGCCTACGATTATTTTGCTCACTCATCGCAAAGTCTGCCTTTGAACGAATCACCTAACCTCCCCACCCGCCTCTCCTGGTTACGAGGCGCACCCACCTGTACTCATCAAAAACCTTTGTCACCCTGAATTCTAGCTCTTTGAAAAGAACTCTGATTTCCTATTACGACGAGCGCCAATTAAAGGCAGTTGGCACGATAATTTGGCACTCGGCCTAAAATGCTAGTAGGGCGCTATA